TTGTATTCTCCAACTTCTAGCATAGAATCTTATAAATAATAATACTATGATAGTAATAGCAGCATTCAATTACTAGCTCATTTAATCTTTATCCTATGAGGTAAATGTTCTTAATTCCTTTTTAAACTGAGATATAATTCACATAGCTGAAATTTACCATTTTAAAGCATGCAACTCAGTGGTTTTAATATATTCACAAGATTGTACAACCATTACTGATGTCTAATACCAGAACATTTTTATTCCCCACAAAGCATTAGCAGTCACATGTCATTCATCTCACCCACTAGCAACCTCTAATCTACTCTACTCTCAGTCTCTGTGGATTTGCCTGTTCTGGACATTTCATATAAATGGAGTCATATAATTTGTTGTCTTTTAGTGTCTTGACTATTATCACTTATGTTTTTAAGGTTTATTTCATGTTGTAGCATGTGTCAGTACTTCACTCCTTTTTGTGGTCAAACAATATTCCATTGTATAGATATGACATAATTTGTCTATCTGTTCATCCATTGATATTTTGGTTTTCATTTTTTGACTGCGAATAATGATGCTGTGAACATTCATATGCAAGTTTTGGTGCAAACATTTTCAATTCTTTTTGGCATATACTGGAAGTGGAATTGCTAGGTCATATGGTAGGTTACTCTGTACTTAACTTTTTGAGGAACTTATTTATTCCTTTTTTTTTAATAGACTTTTATTTTGGAATAGTTTTAGATTAATAGAGAAGTTTCAGATACAGTAGATTTCCTGTATAACTGTCACCCCCTTCAAAATGGAAGAGAATAGAGAGCCCAGAAATAAATCCACAAACTTTTGGTCAATTAATCTTTGACAAAGGAGACAAGAACATACAATGGAGTAAAGACAGTCTCTTCAGCAAATGGTGTTGGGAAAACTGGACAGCTGCATATAAATCAATGAAGTTAGAAAACTCCTTCACACTATACACAAAAATAAACTCAAAATGGCTTAAAGACTTAAATATAAGATAAGACACAATAAACCTCCTAGAAGAAAACATAGGCAAAACATAAGACAAGACATTATAAACCTCTTAGAAGAAAATGTAGACAAAACATTCTCTGACAGAAATCTCAGCAATGTTCTCCTAGGGCAGTCTACCCAGGCAATAGAAATAAAAGCAAAAATAAGAAAATGGGACCTAAGAAGCTTTTGCACAGCGAAGGAAACCATAAGCAAAACAAAAACATAACCTATGGAATGGGAGAAAATATTTGCAAAAAGATGAGACTAAGAAGGGGTGAATCTCCAGAATATATAAACAACTCATACAGCTTAATAAGAAAAAAAAAACCCATTCCAAAAATGGGCAGAAGACCTGAACAAGTAATTCTCCAATGAAGACATGCAAATGGCTAACAGGCACATGAAGAAATGCTCAATATCGCTAATTATCAGAGAAATGCAAATCGAAACTACAATAAGGTATCATCTCACACCAGTCAGAATGGCCATCATTGAAAAGTTCACAAATGATAAATGCTGGAGAGGGTGTGGAGAAAAGGAAAACCTTCTTACATTGCTGGTGGGAATGCAGTTTGGTGCAGCCTAGTATGGAGATTCCCCAGAAGAGTAAAAATAGACTTACCATATGATCCAGCAATCACACTCCTGGGCATATATCCAGAGGGAACCTTAATTCAAAAAGATACATGCACCCCAATGTTCATAGCAGCACTGTACACAATAGCCAAGACATGGAAACAATGTAACTGTCCACTGACAGATGAATGGGTAAAGAAGCTGTGGTATATTTATACAATGGAATACTACTCAGTCATAAAAAATAATTCATTTGCAGCAACATGGATGGACCTGGAGACTGTCATTCTAAGTGAAATAAGCCATAAAGAGAAAGAAAAATACCATATAATATCACTTATATGTGGAATCTAAAAAAAGAAAAATATAAACAAGCTTATTTGCAAAACAGAAATCACTTATATGTGGGATCTAAAAAAAAAAAAGACAAACTAATTTATTTGCAAAACAGAAACAGACTCTCAGAAAACAAACTTGTGGTTACCAGAGGGGAAAGGGATGGGAGGGGATAAATTGGGAGTTAAGAGATTTGCAGATACTAACTGATATAAATATAATAGATAAACAAGAAGTTCATGCTGTATAGCGCAGGGAACTGTATATTCAATATCTTGTAGTAACTTACGGTGAAAAAGAATATGAAAAGGAATATATGTATGTTCATATATAACTGAAGCATTGTGGTGTACACCAGAAATTGACACAACATTGTAAACTGACTATACTTCAATAAAAATATGCATATTAAAAAAAAAAACCTGGACGTTCACCAAGGCAGCCCTCAAGTGTTCAGTGGCAGTTGTGCAGCTGGAGCCTGCAGGAAGTGGAAGTGCAGAGGATCTGAGCATCTTACATTAAACTGCATGGCTGCATTCAAGATTGTAACAGGGCTCTGGAACTTCATCTGTTCTCAGTCAAGCCTCTTCTTCAATGAGCAATGGCCTATGAAACTTCAGAGCAGTATGAGAAAGCTTATGTGGATTATAAAACCGTGTTGCACACAGACAGCAGAATCCAGATAGCAAATGACAGTATTAACAGAATAACAAGAATTTTAATGTCTCTGGGTGGACCAAGCTAGCAGGAAAAACTCCTGTGCAGTTGCGAGCCTGGCAGCCTGCAGCAGAGTTGCCCCTAGAACAAGTGGGAGACTGCTGCAGCAATCATCAGCCAGGCATCACAAATGAAAATCATGTTTAAAACCCTTAAAGAAGAAGGAAATCAATGTGTAAAGGACAAAAACTATAAAGATGCCCTTCGTAAATACAGTAAATGCTTAAATATTAACAAGGAATGTGCTATTTATACCAACAGAGCTCTGTGTTACTTGAAGCTGTGTCGATTCGAAGAGGCAAAGCAGGACTGTTAATCAGGCGCTTTGGACAGATAACAAGAATGTGAAAGTGTGCTGTAGATGAGCCTTTGCTTGTAAAGGATTCAAGAATTATCAAAAAAGTTTAAACGATCTCAGTAAAGTTCTCCTGCTAGACCCAAGTTTGTTGAGGCAAAGATGGAACTGGACAAGGTAACTATAATCCTTAATATTCACGATAATGCAGCATCATTCAACAAAGAAAAGAAGGACGATTGAAATTCAAGAGGTGAATGAAGGCCATAAGGAAGAGCCTGAAAGGACCTCGGAGGAGATCTCTACCGACTGCCTTGCTTCTGAGAAGCGGAACACGAGCAGAGGGCCTGAGAATTCCCATGAACAACTGCTGATCATCAAGCCTAACAACACCTACACGCATTTGGTCAGGTTATAAATGCCATCAGTATTCGGAAAGATAAGCCTGTGCACACCTTTTAGCTATCACGGAACCAAAAGATTTGCCAATGTTGTTGAGTAACAAACATGAAGGGGATACCTTTCTACTCCTCATTTAGTCTCTGAAAAATAGTCTTATTGATAAAGATCTCTCTTTGATGTATCAGCATCTTTTGTATCTGAATAAAGTAGAAAGGTTTAAGATGATGTTAACACTGATTAGCATGGGTCAAAAGGAACAAATTAAACAGCTCTTTGATGACCTCTCAGATACACCAAGCAAACATTTTTCTTTAGGAGATGTACAGGCCCTCAAAAGGCAGTATGAACTTAAAATTAAGATTATTGTTAGATTTCTTCCATGCATCTATGTGTTCCAGTAATGCTAATGAGACAGTATTATAATAGTGTAATAGTGTTGCACGGATAAAACCTAAGAAAAGAAAGAAAGAAGATAAACATCTGTCTTGATTTATCACTTCATGAAGTAATACACATGATGTGACCAGCTGGTTTGGAAGAATCATCTGACTGTATGTCTTCTGCATCACCTTCTTAGATCCCACCCCCATTCCTTTTTTTGACCACCAATAGTTTTTTCACTTCAGGCAGTCTTTCTCATACACACATAATGAATTTTTTTTACACTCTTCTCCAGCTAGGTGCCTCCCAAAATGTTTATTTTCCCCCTTTACCTTCTCTCATTCTTCCTCTTTTGTAGGTTGAAAAATAAATCGTGGGATATAAAATACACAGTAGTGCTGTGACATACTCCCATCAAGGAAGACAAAAAGCTGTAAGATTTAGAATGGAATTAGATATAATTCTTTACCCCTCAAGTCTTCTCAAATTATACCTACTTTTCTTCAACTACTATCATTCTAAACAAATTTTTTAAGTTATTTTTAATTTTATCTAAAAACAGTTGCCATTCTTTCCATTGTACATATACAAAATTTTATTCACTTACATGTATTAAATAACTTCATAATCAAATCAGGATCTAATTACCAATCAAAAGTTTGTTTAATGAGGTGTTATTTCCTAACATACATACTTTTTTTAATTGAAGTATAGTCAGTTACAATGTGTCAGTTTCCTGTATACAGCGTAATGTTTCAGTCATGCATATACATACATATATTCCTTTTCATATTTTTCTTATAGGTTAGTACAAGATATTAAATATAGTTCCCTGTGCTATATGGTAGAAATTTATTTTTTTATCTGTTTTATATATAGTAGTTCATATTTGCAAATCTCAAACTCCCATAGTCTTCCTCTTGGAATTCTCTTTTTTAAGACTCCATGTTGTCTGTTTACTGGAACATTTACTCCTAGGATCAATTGATTCACTGGATATACTTTGATATGTTAGTGTTCCCATGCTTCCCAAAATGTACCATAGTCCTCTTAATAGGATGTGACTTTTCAAAGATGCCCTCAGCTAGCCATTTACCAACTTTGTTAGGGAAGATTGCCTATATTGGTAACCAATTTCATGTCTTTTAAGTTTTACGAATTTCTCAGATTTAACTTTATCATCTGCAAAATTTGTAACATTTTCTAATTTGAAGTTGGAGAGGGGATTATTACTGTTTTGTACTTGTCCATACTATGTTTTACTTTGTTATTAATGCTATGTTTTTGTCTATTTCAGGCCATATCATAATTCGGAATCATGTCCGATAACGGAGAACTGGAAGACAAGCCTCCAGCGCCCCCTGTGCGAATGAGCAGTACCATTTTTAGCACTGGAGGCAAAGACCCTCTGTCAGCCAATCACAGTTTGAAACCATTGCCCTCTGTTCCAGAGGAAAAAAAGCCCAGGAATAAAATCATCTCTATATTCTCAAGCACAGAGAAAGGTAATTAGCTACTGTGGTTTCAGGGGTCTCAGTTATTATTTTGTATTACAGATTTTGATATCTTTTTAATTAAAGTATAAGAAGTTATCTTTTATGGTGGTAAACATACAATTGGTGATATATAAACACTATTGGAAAGGCTAATTTATTTTAAACTGTGGTAGAAAAGAATAAAGTTGTTGCTCATCCTACTTTTGTTACATCCAGTGAATTTCTGTACTTCTTTCCTTCATTTTCTAAGACTTGGGCCATAATTTATGACTTCCCAACATTAGTGAGATTTGTCATATTTGAGAGAGACTATTAAAGTATGGTAATATAGTCTACAGCATCTTGTCTGAAATCTCTGAAGCCAGCTGTGTTTTGGAATTAAGAGTTTTTCTGACTTTTGAGTAGTAGTAATACTATCTTTTTATCTGTATTCTGTAATCTCCTCAGATTCATCTGAGGCAACACTCAGTAATCAACACATTAATGTATCTTCTAAAAATAAGAGTCTAGTCCAGGGTTTATCAACCTCAGTAAGATTGACATTTGAGGGCCAAATAATGTCTTGTTGCAGGGATCTGTCCCAAGCACTATAGGATGTTAAGCGTCATTCCTAGCTTTTACCTGCTAGATATTAGTGGCACCTCCTACCCAGTTGTGACAACTGAAAATGTCTTCAAACGTTGCTAGATGTTCCCAGAGCAAAATTGCCTCCAGTTAAGAACCACTGGTCTAATTACACAAAGTGGGGTAAAGACTGTAAATAGTCTTAACATTAGTTGAATTCACATTTGTTTTGGTGCCAAACCTAAGGAAAGAACTTTTGTTTTTCAGAGCTTTATAGATTTTAGAATTGGATAAGGGATTATGGACTGTAATGGATTTTAGAATAAAGGCTAGGGGTTGGCTTATTTTATTATGTTAAGCATGGTAGTATGGCTCTGATAGCTAGTGATAGATAAAAGTGGAGATAAAGATGTATTTCCACTTAGATATCTAAGTTTACATGGAGAGGTAAACCCAAGTGGAAGAAAACAGTGCTTTGTGTATAACAATAAATACACATTTAATTTGAGAGTTAAAAATACATAATCAGTAAAAGTTTGAATGAGGTAATAGTATAGTTAATACTAATAGAGAATCTAGATTTGCAGACAGGATATAATTATTGAACAGTTGAAAACCTGGGCATTTTAATCTGTATCTCTTATTTCTAATTTTCCTTTTATTTTTAAAATTTCGTATTAGGTTGTAACTGAAAAGCCCCCTGGAAGTATGTTTTCTAAGTTTGTTAACAGAAGTGGTAGCATGTGTATTTGGCATGTTTGAGAATGAAAAATGTATGTGCTTAGACAGGATTAAGCAAAAGATAAAGGGGGAAATTAGGAAATGAACCAAAAAGTATGTGTGGAAAGAAGGCAAAAAAAGTTTATACGTTGTAGAGCACTAAATCCTCACCTTTCCTCATCATGGTAGTAAGTCAATGTACTATAAACCTAAAAAATGTCAGTGTAAACACGGTATTTGTAATTATGAAAGCCAGAAAAAAAATTTATGGAGGTTAATACCAGAAGAAATTGCTCAAAGGGTGGAAATTACTTGCCTGTGGAGAACAGAATGCAAAATGGGGTAAGGGAATGCCCAAGATAGGATAAAATGTACTTGGGGACAGCCTTCGAAAGAGGGAAAGAAGAGCACAAAAGAGAAAGTATGGACAGTCCAGTACTTTGGGTAAATTGGTGGGGCTTGTGAGCAATTTGAACATGCTTTTCTGTAGATGCAGAAAAGCATGCCTATCTCTCTGATCATAATTGAGAATCTTCCAGTTTTACCCTCCTTCATTAACTTCCTTTTCTTTTCCTTTCTCCCAGAAATACTTACCAGCTATAACTCAGGGTCACCCCCAACAAAGGGAAACTCAAGGTCTTGGGGTCCTAGGGATGGCTTTGATTGCCTTTAGTTTTATCAGCTTTTGAGGACTGTAATTGACATCCATTAAAATTTTTTTGGAGATTTGTTTTCTTGTGCTTGTTGTATTCAATACATAATAACTTTTTAGTGCTAGTCTTAAAAATTTACAAGCTCTTAAAAAAAAATACTTTGCCTTTCATATCCAATACCTTTTCTTCTTTCTCTTAAAAAATAGAAAATGTCGAACATATACAAAGTATAACAGTCTAACAAACCTTGTAACCCAGATTCAACAATTATTCTTTCTCCACTTACTCTTTAGGTAAAATTTACCTATGTTGAAATACAATTTTGACAAATGGATACACCTGTGTAAGCCATTACCATTCTCCCCATATCACATCATGCACCATATCCATCTCCCCAGAAAGCTCTTTCACATCCTGTCCCAAACAGTCTACTCCTACCCCCTCTTAGGGAACTTCTGTCTGACTTTTTACCTTTAATCAGTTTAGCCTGTTATAGAATTTTGTATAAATAGAATTTTGCCTTAATTTTTTAGTTTTGTAGTAACATCATACACATGGGAGTATAGTGTACATAATTATATATTTTAATAAACACTCTTGTACCGACCACCCAGCCAGAATTTTTATCAGTATGCCCTGAAATCCCCATCTGCCATGTCCCATCTTTTCCTTCCCCTCCTCCTCTTCTGCAATATCCACCACCCTGAATTTTCCATTTTTAATTTCTTGCTTCTTATTATAGTCTTATGACATAATATCCCCAAATAATATATGACTTAAGTTTGCCTATTTGGGAACATTTTATAAATGGAATTATACTACAGCATATGTATATTTTCAGGATGTATGTTTTTCATTGAACTTTATGTTTTTGAGATTTATGTTGATATTTATAACTGTAGTTCATTTTCACTGGTGATGTTGACATATGTAGCTGTAGTTTGTTCATTTTCACTGCATATACTAGTATGCTGTATAAATATATGGCAATTTACTTACCTGGTCTCCTATCAATAGACATTTGAATTGTTTTCATGAACAATGCTGCTATGTGTACTTTTGAACATATCTCTTGGTGGCTTTGTGCAAGTATTCTTCTAGGGCAGTGTTTTTCAAACCTCAGGTTGTTTTGATTCTAATTGCTTATTAGAATCTCTTGGGAAGCTTAATTAAATAAATCTGTGTCCATGCTCATCGCAGACCAACTGAATCAGTCTTCAGAAGCTTACCTGGGCATCAGTTTTGGTTTTACTTTTGATTTTTTTTTAATACCTCAGGTGATTCTAATGTTCGTCTAATGTTAAGAACCACTGTGTTGTGGTTTATGAAATCTATATAGTGGATGACACTAAATGAAATAGAACATAAATAGAGTATATAGAACACAGTGAATCTTGTTTCAGTTGTACATGTGTTGGTTGGGTCAGGATATAAAATTTATTGATGTGGTCCTGGCCAAAGATTTAAAGGTTGCTATGAGGTATATACTTGGTAGTAAAATTGTTGGGTTACAGGGTATTCCCATGTTTGACTTGACAAGGTTTATCAAATTGCTTTCTAAAGCATTTGTTTGTTTGTTTGTTTCAATGTTCATTCTCACCCACAGAACATGTTCCCACTGCTGAACATCCTTGCAAATTCTTGTATTATGGGACTTTAATGTTTGCCAATTTGAGAGTTGTGAAATGATATCTCTTTGCAGTTTTAATTCCAATTTCCCTGATGACTTGGGATTAGATGTCTTTTCAAATGTTAATTTACTATTCATTTGTGTTTTCTGTGACAAATCTGTTTTTTAATCCATTTTTCTATTCGGTTGTTTTTCCTTGTCTATTATTAATAAACATTCCTTATAGTCTATATACTAATCCTTTGTCAGCTGTATGTTATTAAATACAGTTTTCCAGGTTGCACTATACCTTTTCACCCTTTTAGTGGTATCTGTTGATGAATAAAAGTTACTAATTTTGGTGTAGTTGAGTTGATCAGTTCCTTCCCTTGTCTAAAGTTTGAGCTTTTTGTAATTTAAGAAATTTTTGCCAAACTAGGGATCAAAGGTATTTTCTTACGTTTTTCTAAAAGTTTTATGGTTTGGGTTTTACAGTTTAAACCTTTAACTATCTGGATTTGGTTTTTGTGTATTTGTTAAGAGAGATTAATTTTCATCTTTTAAAAAAAAACCTTTATTGTGGTATGTTCCTGTACAGTGAACCACACATGTTTCAAATGTACAGTTTGATCATTTTCACCTTTTTTTTAAACCAATGTTCCAGACCATTTATTGAAACTTTTATCATTTCACCACTGACCTGCAAATACTAGCTATTATCTGTCAGGTTTCTGTGTGCGCCAGGATCCGTTTCTGTGTTTTCTGTTTTATTGTGTTGGCTTACTTGCCTGTACCTGCACTAATACTATACTGCCTTAATTGTTATAGCTTCTAGTTCTTAATAACTAATAGAGCAAATCTGGGGCCCAGTGGTTCTTCAGGATCTTTCAACCTTTGCTCTTCTCTGTAAATTTTAGAATTTGCTTCTCGTGTACTTTTTTTTATTATTATTGAAGTACACTCAATTACAGTGTGTCAATCTCTAGTACACAGCACAGTGTCCCAGTCATACATATTGTTTCTCATGTACTTAAAAAAGAAACCAACCTATATATGCTTTGATTAGAATTGCATTGAATTTGTAAGTTGGTAAGTTGGGGAGAATTGCATTCAACTTTGTAGTTGAGAGTAGAACGTTGGCAGAGTCTATGTAACCTACTTGGAGGGAGATGTTTAGGAGTGTGCAATTTTCAGTTGGACTGAGAAAAAGATGGAATGTTTGGAGGGTAGGCTGCTGTTTAATTCCCCCTATTCCTGGGGCTCTTCTCTCTCTTTCCAACCCATTCTCCCACTCTTAACAGTTCCTTTCTGAAAGCTAACACCTCTCACAAGACCTGAACCTTAAGGGTTAGGAATGAGGTTTAGGAATGTGGATGTGTGTGCACATTCATGCTTATATGAATATAGAAATATACCTGCAGTTGCATTCTCCTGCCTGCATCCTGAGCTGCTGTTTCTCTCTC